ATGAATGAAAAACTTGACTGGTTCACCTTAAAATGCTGTACAATATGTTCAACAATATCCTCAGGATTATTAATTGAGGAATCTTATGCTTTATGTAGTCCTACAAGATCTATGTTCAATAAAACTTTAAATATTGATCACAACTGTTACAGAACCATTTAACGCCAATCAACATATATTGTGGAATGCCTGTCTTATGCAATCAGCAATAATCAAGTCACAACATGGCAATAACCTAATGATTTGATAGTTTTATATTTTTTCCAAAGAAATCAGAATAAATGATTTTTGTTGTTAAACGGTTTGAATAAACTCAGATGGTTTGAAAAGTATTCTTGACAAGTAAGTGTAGATAATTTCAAGGTAAAGTTATAAAGATTACCATAAATTTATAAAAATAAATTAAAAAATGGAAAAAGAAACTATCAATTTCTACTAGTTTCCAAAGTCCTAAAACAAGACTTTGTTTTTGACAAAACTTGTGTACACACATATACACACATAAACTTATTTGTGAGCACACCTGCATACCTCTGCACTTGTGTGTGTGTGCATGTATGTGTGTGTGTGTGTGTGTGTGTGTGTGTGATGTACACACAAACCCATATATGGGGGTTTGTGGTTTATAGCTAGGACCCCAATTAAAGATGGAAAGCTATTAAATAAAACTTAGCTGGATATTTCTTAAAAGCTTTCAGGGAAAAATAATTGCCTAATCAACTTACTGAAGAAAAGATATGATTATTAATGAATAAAACTATAAGCATGTTCATTCTGAAACCCTCTTTTGCATAATAGAGAATATGCCAAAAATGGTATCTCATTTTCACTTCTCAAAATTAGGTAGATCAGATAAACCATTTGTTTTGCTCTGGAATATTTAGCTCTTTAATGGTAAAAATCTAATCTGTATTTTTAAAATCATTTGCATTTCTCCAAGCATTGACCTATTTTATAGTGCTTGTCATCATGTACTTTGCTGTACAACATTTTATACTAGAAATGATAAATTGCCAGAAAGTATGCACAATTGTATAATGCTATCATATTCTGTTCTGACTACTAAAATTCAAATTCAGAAATCTCATTATGCTTCACATATAGATTGAATCATGTCAGCCTTTTAAGTTTTAAATTATTTAATTTTCTTAAAGGAAAAAAAAAATCCATCCATTTTGTATAGCCCAGGGGACTAGAAAATCATAAGCATTTCTATCTATAAATAACTTAGACTGTATTTGAAATTTAAATTTATAATCATAATTACTATTCAAGCCATTTTCACAGATTACAGAAGAGTATTCCCTTCACGACTTCCAAAAAAAATCATATTGAAAATTACCTTCCTTTGGAATGGACTTCAGTTAACATTTAGTTGTCTGACTAATATTCTTCTGATTTCTGATACAACATATTTTCTTTACTGAGATGGAAATATGCCAATATTTTCAGTTTCTCTGAACGTGCTTTCAAGACATCCTAATATCCCATGGCTAATTTCTTCCATTTGTTTCACTGATAATGGGGATTTAACTAAAGTACCCATAGTTTGATTTTTGTATTTTTCTTTCTTTCACCCCTTGGTTCAGAAATGGAAACCGATGTTCCATATTCAGCTCAGGGAAAAATCTTTGAGTTTCATTTTCCCCCGGGTGGGGAATTCACAAGTCAGTATCATTTACTATTTGTGTTGTTGGGGTTATGTAGAGGGTTATGAAAATCAGCCATAATATGGCTGGGGTTATGAAATCAGCCATAATATCTGCCTTGCTAAAATGTTAACACAGAGGCTGCTGGGGGTGACAGAGGGTTTAGGAAAAGGGTGTAAGCCTTTGGAACACCAAGCCTTGTGTGATCACTCGATAATTGGAATGTCATGGGGAGTTACCTTCCCCTAACCTTTCTTAGCTCAGACTGCTGGCTGCCCTGTGATCTAAGAGATATATGCACTGTCCCTTAGACTCAGAGAGCCCGATGCAGGGCTCGATCCCAGGACCCTGGGATCATGACCTGAGCCGAAGGCAGAGGCTTTAACCCACTGAGCCACCCAGGCGCCCCCGGATCCATATTTCTGATGACCACTAGTGTCTGGCATATCGTGAGCATCCAATATTTTTTAATGAAAGGATGGATGGATGGATAAATGAAGGAAATAAGAAGATAATTATATGAATAGTTTTAATTTAATGACTTTTTGTCCCTCTTTGACACATTTTTTTAATCTCTTCCACTATTCTCATATGCATTTGATAAATTCTACTGTGCAAACTCGGCTTTGTCTCCCATACATTCTCCCCTTTTCCCCTGTTGCTATTCTACTTATGCTATTCTTGGCTCTCATCAAGATCACTCAATGGATTGTTAGCTGGTCTCTTAGCTCTGTATTTATTTATTTCATTGGCACAATACTACCAAAGCAATAAGCCTGGAGACCTACCTTATTCACATCACTTCTTGAATCAAAATTGTAGTGGTTCGTTATTGACTCAAAAATCATGTCAAAACACCATGGTATTTAAAGTTCTCTAGTCTCAGTTCATTTTACATTACCTATCCTGTCCCCTCCTAGGTGTGCCATGACTCCTAATATCACAGAACGTGCCATGTGGCTTTACACTGCAGCTCCTGGCTTAGAGCTATGTCATTCAATGTATACAACAATATCCTTTGGTTGCTAGTAATAAAAATCAAAGTTTGAAGATAATAAGTTCCCTTCTGAGATCTCACAGCTAGTAAGTAATCCCTCAGGGTTCAAAACCAGATATATTTGACTTCAAAGAACACCTTTATAAGATCTAAACCATGATGGGTTATCTGCCCACCTTTCAAATGTCTACTTATCCTTCAAGTACTTGTTCCAGTGACATCTTTCAGGTAGTTTTCCAGTCTTGGAGATAATACCAAATACTTGTCTACTACCTGCTGGTTTAGAGCTAAGGAATCATACTTGCCCTTCTTCCCCGGAGAATTGCGCTCAACTGACTGCAGCAGCCTCGCTGGGAAGTTAGAGCCCAAAGGTCAACCAATGACTGATGGAGCATATAAAACAGGACCCCTCCCTGCTGTGGGATTTATGTTCCAAAGCATATCCCCTGTGGCTCAATCAAAGATGAGAGTTTCCCTGAAACACAGTCTTTCTGGTGTCTTTCCCCTTATCTCTCCATCTTTTACAGGTTTCTCCTGAACAACACTCCCCTCATAAATAACCTTTACAAGAATTCCTGTCTCAGGCCTCCCTAAGACCCCTCCAACAGGCAATTCTAAAAATTGCTGCCAGAATCCTTCTTTAAGATGAAAATTATGTTACATATACTGTGGTTATGTTATTTATTAACATCACGGACCTTTTTTATAAAATTAATTTTGCAACTTTTCTGTAGGTCCAGAATTAGTTAAAAATAGAAAAGTTAAAAAGACAGCTAAAGCTCTTTTAAAATGAAAATAGTATTTGAGCATCTTATGCCACTTGCCTCTTCAGTTGCTTCCCATGTCTCCCCTTAAAGCTAGAATAAAATTCATTCCTTAACTGTCTGTTTGAGGTCCTAGATGATCTATAGCTGGGCACCTGGGCAACCTCATTTCCAACATTTTCCTGAGTTGCTCATATGTTCCTAGGCATACTAACATCCCTGCTGTTTTTGACATATGCCAAGCTCACTCCTAACTCATAACATGCTGTTCTTTCTGTTTGGAAAGTTATTTGCTTCCATATTCACATAGCTTCCTACCTCTATGATGTTCTCTTCTCAAATATCACCTTTCTAGAGATGACTTTTTTGATAATCCTATTCATAATTCTACTCCCCCCGCATAGTCCCCATTCTTTTCCACATAGCACTCATTAGTATCTGGCATGATTTATATTAAATATTCCATTCTCTGGAGGAAGGTAAGTTTCATGACAGTTGGTAATCTTTTCACAAGAGTTAGGACTTGTCTTCATCATCTTGAACAATTTCTCACACTAGGTAGGTGCTCAATTGGTTCTTGTTAAATCAGTGACTGGAGACACACTTGTGTAAATGAACTAATTCCCCAAAGACTGCTCCTTCCCATAAAGAGTAAAAACAATGTAGTTGAAGGAAAAATCCTATGGCACATTAACAGTTAATAAGAATATAGGTGCCAAATATAAGTAAAATTACAACTACATAAGATACTATAAAGCATAATTATTAAGTAATATGTACTCTAGACATGTATTCTCTCCTTCAGGGTAGAGTGCCGAGGGACGTTGTTTGTGGCATGAACAGGAAGGAGCCTTGAGACTCCTTCAGTTCTGGAAATGTTCCATTGGAGAAGTGTTAAACTTAGACCTTATAAGGTGAGTAAGAATCATCTGGGTGCACAGAAGTCAGAAGGGCATTCTAGATGGGGAGCCTGGGAGGCAAATGCAATGGGAGAAAAACAGGCAAGTAGAACAAAACATGCAGGCTCCTGAGCAGTTGTAGGAGTATAGGGAGTTTGGAGTGGTAGCTTAGATGACATAGCTGGGAGGGATATTAAAGCCTGATTAAAAAGAGCTGTGAATGAAAGGGCAAGGAATCATGATGTCTGCCTTTTACAGAAATTATTTGTTTTCCCACCTCTTTGCCCATTTAGTTTCTTTCTTTTTTTTTTTTTTTTTTTGCCCATTTAGTTTCTGATCCTCTAGAAATATTATCATCTGTCCCAGCATCATTAACATATATCAGTAAAAATACCCTAATACATTATAAACTGTCAAAATTCCATGTATGTGAAATCCTACAAATGGTCTTGCAACTTAGGCAATTTTCAAATAATATCCCCATAATATCACTGGCAATATGATAAGGCCTTAACTTTCAAGTTGGAAAAATACAACATGAAATGTTAATGACTTTCATAAAGTGATAGTATAAATTATTTTACTTGCTTGTAAAAATGATTATATTGCCAACAAACCTGGAAAGAATTGTAACACTAATATGCTGAACATATTGCTCCACATTCTAGACTGTGTCAGAAATACATCATACCTGTGGGTCTTTGCAGATTCTTTTGTACTAAAATTCTTCTCAGAGTACCGTCCATGGCTGCTTCTTCTATGTGGGAGTGGTCCCCAATGACAGTCCAGTACATCATCCTGACGAGACAAGTCAAATGGATTAGCTTGCAGCTAACTCAGCTCTGCTCCTCAAAACAGTTTCCCTTCAGACCATGTGCATCAGAACCACCCCTGAGTCCCTGAAAATGAAGATTCCTGGACCCAACTCTAAACCTACAGACAGGGAATGTCCAATAAGAGCAATTTATTTTTTAATAAAAAATTTTTAATTAAAAATTTTTAAATAAAAAATTTAACATTTCTCTATTTTCCTTTTAGGTCATTGCCTATAAATGAAAAAAGTAAAAGAGTACAAAAAGGAACAATTCAAGCAAAGGAAAGGAAATATTTGTGTTAAAATTGTTTAAATTTGTTCATATGTACACCTTCATCTTTTATTATCACAAATGGCCAAAATACTAATACTCCATACTTCATACGTTCAATATTATAGTTAATGTCTTGAAAATTCAATCTTAGGTTAACCATATTGGTTATGTGTTTATTGAAATGTCCACATAAGACACACACACATTCATACATAGAATATATCATGCAGCAGGCTTTCAGGAAAACACGTATTTTGTGCCATGATTTGGTGTGAAAAGCTCATGCTCTTGTACAGAAGTAGAGGAAATTTTAGAAGCCTTGTGAATCTATTACATGTTGAACATTTATTACAGAAGGAAAACTACAGAGAAGAGGTGGGAAAACAATCCCTAAAAATGGATATGCGTATCAAGAAATATAAATAGTCAACTTGTTAACCTACCCTCTTTTAGGATTTACGGCGATAGCGTAGGGTTCTCCAGCCATGTTTGTTAAGAGTCTGGTGCAGTTGGGGCCATTCAGCTGCCCCACATTGATAGAGTACCTCAGACTGGTCCAGTGAGTGGTGTAGTAACTGAACCAGTGCATTCTAGAATGATCAGTCCAATAAATATTTCCAGCAACCCAGTCAACTGCAATGTCCCTGGGCCTTTTAAATTCAGGACACTGAAAGAAAACAAAACAACACCACAGTATTTTCAAAAGCAAAGTAGTGGAGGGGAGGTCTGTATACATTAATATTGTATGAGAATGATATCAACATGGTCAGGTGTTTTACACAGGTTTTTAAAATATCTAAAATGTTCCATTTTATTCTTAATTTTTATAGATACTGTAATTTCCACAAATCTTAATTGCAATATTCATGGAAGTTTAACCTATCACTGCCTTTGTATAAACACCATCCTGTTAGACAATTTCTAGAATTGTAGACAGTTCACCTGTGACTTCTCCCAGTCAGGATTCTTCTGAGACTAACCATAATTGTGATGTCTAACAAAATAGAATAGTTTAAGAAATCCATATAAATAGTATCATACTGTTCTATTTCTGACTTCTTTTATTCAACATTGTATCTATGAAATTCATTCATAGTGTTGTATATGTCAGTTACTAATACTTTTTTATGATGGGTAGTCATTCATTTTATGAATATGCTAACAGTTTTTTCACCATTTTACTGATGATATCTATTTGGATTATTATAGCCTTAGGCCACTGAACTGAAGCCATGAATATTCTTGTACATGCATTTTGGTGGACACAAAAATTCATTTCTGTTGAGTATTTAACAAGGAATAGAATTGGTGAGTCTTAAGGTATACATATACTTAGCTTGGGTAGATACAGCTAGCATTTTTTTTTTTCAAAAAGTTTTTTACCAATATACCTCTTCTAAGCAATTTAAGGAAGTTCCAGTTTTTCTGCATTCTCACCATATATAATTTGATTTAAAAATTGAAAAAAATATTAGTAAATATGGACACATTTAGAAAGGTACTTTATTTAAACATATTTTAAGGAAAGTTACAATATATCTCATTTATATTAAATGCACAAGCTTGGATTTTCTGCTTTATATTGTATTATTGAGTTATTGTAAGACAGAGAGGTAAAGGAGTTCTTTGCAAATAGACAGTGAGGAAAATAACATACACTCTGTGCCCTTCAATTAACTTGGACAATTCTAGTAGGAACTAGTGTCATAATTAATTTGACATGGTCAAGTTTATTGTGCATAACCAAAAGTGAGAAAGGATACCCAGGGGTATTATATCACAAATGGAAACAATTATTTGAAGGTGATTATGACTAGACATGTGGTCAATGTGTAAGAGCATCATTAGGACCCGGCAACCAGTGGAAATATGGTTTTTAACACATGATAGTTTCTTGAGTGAATTACTAGTGAACAAATTTTACTGAAGGAGTGAGTGGACTTGGATTAAAAGAAGAGAAACTAAACTCAAAAAAGAACATGAGATGTCAATAAACAAGAATTACAAGCCACTGCCTGCTGTGTGATTACTGGGATCTCAAGGAAGGAAAATACGGCCTGAACTAAACGCAGAACCCATAGAAATTCCTAACAACTTTTATTATCAGTCCTTTCACATATTGATTTAAAAACTGAAATTATGAATAGTTACCTATTTCTCAACTCTAACAATAGATACTATCCATCTACCCAGTGATAGCTCAGTGATGTTTAACAAAAAGCACTCTGCAATACAATATGCTTTAGAAACAGTATAAATAATAGTCACAGGTGGGCAGAACATAAATATTTGTCCTGGGTAAACCACAAAATTATTTTCAAATGTTCCAGTATTTAAATTAACTGTAATTTTCCCCCCAGATTTGGCAGTGTTTAAAAGTAAATATATGAACAAATGGCATGGATATGTCAGTGTAAGTCATAAATTCATAAATATGACAGACTATGGAGAAAATAAACATTATAAGCTGTTCAGAGTTCGTTGGAGTTATTTATAATCTTCTAACACTAGTAAAGCAAACCCTCAGCTTGCAAAAAAACATGATATTGGTTATCTGGCATGAGCATGGAAAAATACCTAGTTTCCCTTTATCAGATGTAAATATATACACATGATTTCTTATCCTAATAATATCCCTGCTAAAATAAGACAAATTCCATGCAAAGTTCCACTTTTTGAATTTAGGATTTTCATTTTGTTTTACTCATTCTAAAAAAAAAAAAAATGTCTGATTATCTTTCCATTCTATACTTCTACACATGGACTGTGGACAATTAAAAACCCAAATTCTTTATTTTCATAGAACATTCAGAAGATTGATTAAGTGATACTTTGTCAAGTACGCAGGTTTGTGAAGATTCTACTAATGGCAAATTCTAGAAGGATAAATCAGATTTATGTCACATTACTAGGGTAAAAAATACGGCTTAGGGGAAGGGAAAAATGTTACTTTCCAATGAGAAGCACAGATATACCAATGGGTCATTTAAATCTATACATTTACTCTCTGATTCCCTGATCAAGAAATCCCTAATGTCATTCCAGTATCAACTAAAGTAGTTAGAGTATGGGGTAAAGGATGCCACACCCGATAAATTCAACCTATGGACATAAATCACCAGTGACAAGATGATTCTCAGAGAATAGTGGCATCAGGGTGAAGATGTTACCCAATGTTCATCTTCATCAATTTCACAACATACCGAATGCTCAATGATTCTCAACACTGAAAAGAACTGAACAGAAAAAGAACAATAACGAGAAAGCAACAGGATGCTCCTATTGTCAAGGAAATTATGACCGCAATCATATCACCCTTTATATCATATCAAATCACCATTTATCGGGGAACCTGGGTGGCTCAGTGGGTTAAGCCTTTGTCTTTGGCTCAGGTCATGGTCTCAGGGTCCTGGGATTAAGCTCTGCATAGGGCTTTCTGCTCAGCAGGGAGCCTGCTTCTCCCTCTTCCTCTGCCTGCCTCTCTGCCTACTTGTAATCTCTCTATCTCTGTGTCAAATAAATAAATAAAATCTTAAAAAAAAATCACCCTTTATAATGGGCTCCATAGGAATGAAATAATACCCCCCTCTACTGCCCATAGCTTGACCAGGATTGTGAATAGTATTAGCCATATAAAAGGGACTCTTGTATTAAATGGATGTTGGCTGGAGAGTGGAAGGTAGAAATTCCTGTTGGATCTTGATACAATAAAAAGAGAATTTATGGAGAGGTTCAAAATCAAACAGGTGAGTACAAAAGGGCAAAGTAAAAGTAAACTGAGGTTCTGGGGCGTGGAATGGAGTCTGACATGGGACAATAGAAATGGGAAAGCTAAGCAATTTGCTTACAAAGAGGTGAAAAACAAAACAAAACAAACAAACATCAGATTCAAAAGAAAAATAAAATATAAAACTCTCATTGCCCTTTTGGCCAGCTTACTAGACAGGCCTATAAGCTAGAGGCACTAATGAAATATGTCATGTTGAAGAGACTGTAGAGGCAAGTGGTTACCCTGACAACAAAAGATGTTGCTCATATTGTTGCACAAAGTGGAAGACACATTTTGACTGTTTTCTCCAGACAGATGATATCTTTCCTAATAAGCTCTCTAAATACACAGCCAAAGTTTTGAGGCCTGAGGCATTCTTCCTTGTGGAGATATATTAGTCCAATGAATGAAACACTTAAATCTTACAGAAAAATTGGCAGCTTGATTGTAACAAAATTAGAGGTTACTACTTTAAACTACTAATCCTTTATAACTGTGGATTGTAAGGTATCAGTCACAATTCCAGCTTCAGGAAACAAAAGATATATGTCACTGGAGACATTTGATTTAAATTAAGGAAAGAGGAAAACCTATGAAGTGGGACTTCAAGCATTTGAACCATGGAAATACTGCCATCTTTTTTAAAAAAGTTTCCTATAGTTAACAATATACTTTAGGAAAATACAGCTAACATGAGGGTAGATTGAAGTAGTCACGTATTTTATCTATGTTATTTTTTTATCTAAGAAAAGAAAATTTGGTTTATATTACTAAAGTTAATTATCCTGTAATGTAATACTATTAAAAAAAGATGTAAAACCACTCTAAAGATGTGTGTGTGTGTGTGTGTGTGTGTGTGTGTGTGTGTGTTTCATTTCACTAAATGAAAAAGCTATTTACACTCTTGGCCCATAATATATGAATCAGATTAAATTCTCATAAACCAGGAAATAGAAGTAAAATAATGACTATGCAAATTCTGAACATTACTAAATTATATGGCTTAATAATATTATAAGATATGTAGATATATATTATTTCAATCTAGAAGATCATACAGCAATGGGGAAATCCAAAAAGAGCCAAGAAAAAGTTATATTTGGAGCTAGAATGTATAAGAGTTCCTAAAACACTTTAGGAAGGAAATCCCTGGTTTCTACCTACAATTTATTCTGAAGCACAGATTATTTCAATCTGGGTAATTTTAAACCTCTATTTATCTAACTTAAGACCATGTCCACCTGGCACAAACTCTTCTTGGAGGAGGGGCACTTGGGTGGCTTGGTGGGTTAAAGCCTCAGCCTTTGGCTCCAGGTCATGATCCCAGGATCCTGGGATCAGGCCCCACATCGGGCTCTCTGCTCAGTGGGGAGCCTGCTTCCCCCCTCTCTCTGCCTGCCTCTCTGCCTACTTGTGATCTCTGTCTGTCAAATAAATAAATGAAATATTAAAAAAAAAAAAAAAACTCTTCTTGGGAGGAAAAGAAACTATATAATTCTTGGACAATTTCCAAAAGAGACCACATTTGTCTTTGGATTATAGACTCAAAATTGAATGTGACTTTATCTTTTTTTTTTTTTTTAGCATACTTAGTGTTCTTTAAACACATTCATCTTTTACCACTCCCCCCTCCAAGAATAAAGCAAAACTGGCCATGAAAACCTTCTTCACACTATCAGGTAAAAAAAAATATGGAAGATTAAAAAGCACATTAAATTTGGAAGCAGAAGCTTGGTATAAAACCTAATTCTAGTTTCTCTGTAAATTATTTGATATATAAATAAAGGCTTTAGATTAGATTATCTGTAAAAGTTTTTAGATTCTAAACATTAAATAACAGTTTAAAATATTAAACATTCTATTAACCTGCATTTTACATAGCTTTAAGGATGTATCTA